GCCCGGGGCGGGCCGCTCCTGCCGCCCCCACTACGCTACGCTACTGACATTGACAGCAAAAATTTATTGCTTAAGACTATCCAATCAACCCAATTTTTTCTTGGTTCTATTCACATATTCTATTAATGTTAATATTAGTGTATGGTACGAGTGAAAAACTCAAAAAAACCACGCCAAGCGAGCCGTTAATGAAGTGCAAACCCAAGACCAACTGTCAATGTTCGGTTGTTTTATCCAATATATAACCGGATGGCTTAGTATGAATTGATTCGAATGACCAAATATTCACTGCACCCGGAAGGTGCAGTGAATTGGGAAACCTCCGTCCAGGAGATCGAAAGAGGAATTATTGGTCTGGATCCCATAGAGAAGGATTATATACGTTGGAAGACTGTATTAAAAAATCAAGAAAAATGGAAAAAAGGAAGAAGTATTAACAAAGATATCCTATATACTAAGCGTTGGCTGAAAGCAAACAACTTAATTGCCGCAAGAGCGGATAAGAGTAAACAAATAGTTGTAATGAAAAAACAAACGTATGACAAAGCCTTAGAAGAGTACATCAAAAAGACGGAATGTATTAAGACCAGCAGTAAAATTGTTGAGGCTATTGATAGAAGAGTTAGGAAACTGGAGGGAACCAAGCTTGCGAAGGTTTTACCTTTTATCCGGAAATGCCGTAACCCCAGACCTGGGATCCCTAGACTATTTGCCTTTGCTAAAACGCATAAAGAGGGCAAGGAAATAAGGCCAATAGTGGAAAAGCATAAAGCACCTACATTTTTCTTAGAAAAAAGATTGCAAGAATATATCTCCTCCCTAATGGAAAGTAGTAATTTGGTTGCAAAAGATCCGGTAATGGTGGTTAAAGAGCTACAAGACATTACTTTGATGGATGAAGAAGTGGGAACTGTGTTGGATTATGAGAGTTTGTACCCCTCGATTAAAATTAATTCTTGTTTGGAAACTCTATTGGAGTTATTGTTTAGAGAAAACCCGACATTAACGCATCACAGAAACGAGGTTATAGAAATGGCTAATCTTATATGTTGCGAATCTTTTTTCACTTTCGAAGGCCAAACTTATAAACAAAATAGGGGAGTTCCGATGGGAAGCCCAATTTCTGGGCTTCTATGCGAGCTTGTGGTTAGAAGATTGGAAGAAAAAGTATTGAAAAGCTTTGAAAGAGAAATCGTTTACTACAAGAAATATGTGGATGATTTATTTATAATATGGAGGAATAATCGAGAAATTACTAGCTTCATGGATAGAATCAACGATAACGATAAAGGCCTCAGCCTGAAGCTAGAGCAGAAAAGTTCCATAATGGTACATTTCTTAGATATTAATATCATCTTTAGCAAAGGGCATGTATCCACCGTGTACATCAAACCAACACATAGCCCACTATACATCCCTGCTAAGTCCAATGACCCGTATCGTTACAAACTGGCAGCATTTTGTACCTTGGTTAGAAGGGCTTTTCTATACTGCGACAACGTTATAGACCGGGTTACTGATATCGAAAGGATCATACAGTTAGCAGAAACATTAGGATATAAGAGAAATATTATAACGGGTATTGTTAAATTTGAGAAGAATAATGATAAAGTCTCCAGACAAGGTCCATCTAAGTACACAAAATTTACATTCAACAAATACTTAGGAGGAATTATGAAGGAAATTGCTAGCGTAAAAGATTCAAAGGTGATTTTGAAAAGGGCTCCTAATTTATATAAAATTCTTAGAAACGATAAAGGGGTTATTAAAAAAGAAGATAAGGCAGGTGTTTACAAGATTCCCTATGAGAACCAGCTATTAGGAATAAAAAAAGATTACGTAGGAGTTACTACCAGAAACCTCGGGGTAAGGATTAGAGAACACAAATATGATGCTAGAAAAGGGTCTAATACCACAATATTGGCCCAGATGGCACAGGCCCAAGGATCCCTTGTTGGATGGGAGGAAGCGGAAGTCGTGAGACAAGTACACTCACCAACTTTGACGAAGACGGCCGAAAAAATGGAGATATACAGGAGTAAACTTAAAGAAGGATGCATTAATGCTAGAGATGTGGAAGGTCTTCCTTCGGCTTGGAAGTTTGCCGTTAAAAAGCTTATAAGTAGCGCGTCAACTGAAATATGATATATATTTGATTTAAAGGAAACTTAGTATATTTAGCTATGATAGATCGTATTAATATTTAGTCTTTGTAGTATGTTATTTATTTTTAGGTATCGTTTACAATTTATTTTTATTATTATTAATTGATATGTTATCAGTTTATTGATATTTTTGAATTTTCGAACTTATTGTTCTTTTTATGATGTATTCCATTTTCGTATGTTCTAACCTGATGATGATCCATTAAGTGGATCGAAAACGTTCGTTTTTAATAAAACTCCCTCAGCAAACAATAAGGTGTTGGTTACGTTATTTGTTTATTTTTGCTGGGTACGATTGTATTCAAGGTTACACGCGGGGATAATTATCGCTTCTCNCTGATACATATTGTTGAAACACTTCAACCACTTGAAATAGTTGTAAACCATGAATAGTTTTTCACAATGTGTGTGGAAAACAAACAAATTAGATAGAGTATAATTTTGTCTGACTAAGATAGACAGATCTAAGGTTTCATTTTATTTTTTAATTAGTTACTCATTTTGTTCTAGTGAGTCATGATTGTTCTGTAGAGTACTGAGAAGCCACTGTATTTGATTAATGTGATTTTGATATATGCAATGGCATTGAGAGATTAATTAATCGCATTAATCAAGGGATACCCATAGTAGATAACCCATATGTGGAAACCTGTTTACTATGGAAGAATTGCTCGGTCCCACAGGATACCATTATAGACAGGTTTGACTGTATCACTAAAAGAGTTTACTAAGATAATATGCAATATTTATTTTCAATGTAAGGATTTTAATTATGTTTGGATCGTTAAATTTAGTAGGTTATTTGAATATAACTAGTTAATATTTCATAATTAAAAAATATATATTACCTTGTGAAACAGAAAAAATATTCTTTCCATCTGACGAAATAGTTACGTCCGTTACTTCTCTATAAAAATATTTAAGTTATTAAAACGGTCTTTACAAATAATTACGCCACTTATGAAAAAAGACATTACTTACTCTTTATGCAATTTATATTCAGTAATTATTGTAAGAGATTCCATATTTCTGTTCCAATGACATTCTTGCATAATTGATTTTTTGTGTTTTAAAGATGGTTTATCTGTAAAATTAACAAATAATTAGTTAAAAAATCATTTATTAGATTAAATATATCTATTTATGTATTTACTTGCATATTACTGACATTTACTACTACTTTATTTTTAAATTAATACATTTTTTGTATTTTTAATAAAGAAAACTATTTTGTCACTTACGAAAGGGTAAATGGAAAAATGGTACATCAATTACTTAATTACTTAATGCTTTAAGTCACTACTGACAAAATGGAAGTAATACATTAAAAATCACACACACACACCATAAATGTTTGGAAAAATTTACAACAAAACTTACAAGAGATTAAGCAATGACAGGAAGAACTCAAAGAAAGTTATAAGCTAAGTGCATTTTAATTCAAAATTAATGTTTTTAATATTATTTATCTGTTCTTTTTTTATTTTTTGACTCTTTCCACTCCTTGAGCACCAGGAGAGCCCTTTACAGGTCCGTCCTGGATTTGGTTGGCCCATATGGGGAGGCCAGGTGGCAAGAAAAGGCCTAATATATCAAGGATAGATAATCCCCAAAAATTTATGGTGTTGATCTGGGTCTCGATTTAGAGTCTACAGTAGCAATAGATCAATGCCTTAACCACCTTCGACATTCGACCAGCTTACCATTAACCCTCGATATAACAGAACAATAGAAAAAGCAATGATCCAATAATGTCAACTGTCTGTTATATCCAAAGATATCACAATCAGTTACAAAAACTTTATGATGTACTGTACACTAAGAGAGACAAAATAAGTCATATTGTGGTAAATATGAAAGAAACAAAGCTCAAGTTACTAAACAAGTTCAAACAACAGTTGCTTGTGCATACCTAAAGACATTCTGCACACTAACAATTACTATTAATATTCACAAATACTATATTTCATCCCTTGATAAAATATCTCTCTCAAGTTTGAAAATGAATTGAGGATTCTCTTGCATAATATAGTGTATAATTGTTATAAATCCAGGCAAATCAATGGAAAATATGAAAAAATTAGCTATTATTTTCCATTAATTTGTATGCATTTATAACAATTGTATTATGCAAAAAAGATATCAATTCATCATTTCCAAAACCAGTAGATAGAACAAGCATATTCTGAAGACGATTTCTGCTTTGACAGGTGTCACGAAATGAGCAGATTTAACCCATTATTTTCAAAATCCATTATGCCAATCTGTAAAAATATACAATGTACTAAAGGCAATTTAATTTGGATACATATCTGAATATAAAAAAACTAATATATGAAATATATAATGTTAACAAGATAACCCAAATAACTTCATTTAATAGTGTATTTTTCTCTCTCAAATATCAATTTTAAAAAATTGCAGACCTATAAATTCCCACTGGCATCTGTCTGTCAGTCTGTCCTTCCTTAATGTCGAGAATGGAGTTAGATGGATGAAAGTCGAGACCAGACGTGGAAAGCTTTGGAGCATAGACAACTGTTGTGACTCTGTCGTTAACAGGTACAAGACACTACTAAAATTGAAAGCATTGTGCAGCCCAGCATTGTAATGATGTATCAATAAATCTAAAAATATAAATCTCTCTAAATCTGCAAATCATAATTAGAATATACATGAGGAATAGCTGTTTTGTTCAAGATAATTACTGTAAAAATAACATCATTTTTTGAGTAGAAATTTTTAAAAATTCTAATAAATAATTCTATAATGTGATAAAATATTAATTTGTTAGGAATACTGAATTTAATGAAGTTAATATGACTTAAATGTTTTAAAACAGTGGAGTAACTGAAATATTTAAGGCTCTTTGAATGAAATCTGAATTCATTAACTCAAATTCACTCAAAATGAAAGTTTAATTCTTTAAAATTAGATTTTTTAAAAATAATTTTGAAGAGAGGATTGACCTTTGGCTGCTCAAAATTCAATTAATACACATTGGATGGACAAATTTATAATTTTATGACAAAAAAGATGAGTATCGCAAACTCCTATATAATGTAACAAAAAAATTGTGACTGGTACTCGTAAAAATTTGCATTTTGTCATTCAAATGTGTTCTTCAACTTCTGGGTCTAGGTTTAAACTTGTCTCGATAACACGATTTCCTATAATGCGAAACATATCCTATTCAATATTTTATGTTTGTAGTTTCATACCCTTTGAGTATCGTTAAGTTTAAATTATTTCTTTTTTTCTAATATAAATTCTCCTACTTATCCTTATTTTTCTTATTAAGGAATTTCTTTATCACAAAAAAACCAGGTATTTTGCTTTTTCAGTTTTTCCTTGATATATTAGTCTGAAATTATTATTATTATAAAAAAAATCCATTTCTGTTTACTTGTTCTCAAAGTCAAAATATTTAACGTTATGCTATGTTTACGAATGATTTATTTCCAGTTATTTTACTGTCCACTCTTAACTTCGTATTTGACAAAAGGAGTTCTTTTGCAATTTAAAGCATCACTGGCATTGTGAAGTTATATATTAATCGAGATATCACATTGGATGATTCGAACGTTTTGAAAAATTGAGGTGTAATAAAACTCATTTACATAAACTATGTCAATGTAGTTCTCTACAGATTGACGCAATATCTAATGCTAAAAATGTGTTCAATTTACTTTTCGGGGTTGATTTAAATATATTTCTAGATAATTTTAAAGTTTTAACTAACGCCCTACATCTTTTAATTTGTAAGTAGTTAAAATTTTATATTTTGCTTTATCAAACGTTTTGATTAAATGTACATAAAATTTAGATTTCTGATTCTTTCCATCCTGTGGGCCCTAAGAGAACACTTTAACCATGCCATAAGTAAGTGACTGGCAATGAGGGATGGGACCCAACATATCAGAAACAAGAATGCTGCCTTAACACCTTGGTTATCCAACTTTAAATAGTATTATTGGGCTATTTTAAAGTTTATTTGAATTTAATTACAAATAAATTTAACATTCAAAATAAAGTTTAATCATTAAACTATAATTTCCATTAATAATTTTAGTATGTTTATAGAAAACTTCGGCTCACAGAACGATAAAAATTAATCCTGCACATTAAGGATCAGCTACATCAGAATCAATCTTCACTTTAGAAACATAATTTAAAATTTAAAATCCAGATTATGTTATAATACAGAATGTAGTGTAAACATATATATCATTTATACACATAGAAAAGATGTCAACCTAGAGATTCAGCGATATAGTACAAGCAACATACATGCTCAGTATATACAAATAACAATCTGAATCTCGATACCATACTCATTTCAAGGACTGAATTTGTGATTAACTTCTAATTAGCTAAAAGATAGTTTAATGATAAAATCTAATACTGCTGTTGTTATTATTTGGCATTTGATTTTAAATAAAAATAATTTAAAATCATCTAAAAAGGTTATTTAATCATGTACAGGTATACCTCAAGTTACATCGTTTCGAATTACGCTGTTCTCGATTATACATCATTTGTCAAAAAATATATGGAAAAATAAAAATCAAGTTTAAGTTATTTTATTTGACTTTATATCTGTCTGCCACAAATATTAAAATCGTAATATCATTAGAGAAGTGTTAAAAGCACACAGAATCATATTAAAATAAATTTACAGTAAATGTTAATACAATCATCATAAATTGTAGAGAACGAAATATGAAAACATCTGTGACTCTGTGTTGTTGTCTTATTTAGCGGTCTTTAAGAGCTCAATATATTGGCATTTTCCACGGTAGTTCCAATATCTATTGTTTGGCGTCATCATCAGTGTCACTCGTTATTAGTAAATTTAACATAAATTAATTTATTTTTTTACTACTGCAAAATAATTTTAATAACTGTATTTGTTATTAACCTTACAAAATCATCTATTTTTATAATATCTTAGAGCAAACCACATTCACAAATTGTAAACATGTATATTTACAAGTATGTACGTACTGTACATGTATTCGTAAATTTAGATTACTTTTTTCCCTGTACTATATTAAAAACTAAAATTTATTTGTTTGCAAGCTTAAAATAGATTCTTATTAATCATATATTATTAAAAATGCATTTATAAATAAAATACAGAACTGGAAATGGTTATTTGTAGTTTAGCCTAGTGACAAGTAAATTTGCCTTAAGCAAAAAACGACATAAGCCATTTTTTGCTCTTGGAACCAATTACTGACGTAAGGCGAGGTATACCTGTATTAAATGAAGTAATTATTTGGTAATTAATTAACACATTCACTGCCAGAAATGCTTTGAAGCAGTCTATGCTGCAACACTCACCTCATGAGAAACATAGAAGTTTGCTGTGTTTATCACAGAAAATTATTATTTCTTTTTTATTATGTATTGTATACTTTTAAAAATAAATTATATTTTATATAATTTCTTTGATACTTTATATGTAAAATAATTTTAAGGTTTTATTGGTTTTTATTCTTGTTTTCTTTCAGGGAAGCTTTCATTGTTAATGTAGGCAGGCTTATTTTGCCCATTTTACTACAAAAGATACAAGATAATGGCCCTATATCTTTTGTAGTAAAATAAAATAAAATAAATAAATATATAAATTTATTTATTTTACTACACAACTAGAACATTGCTCCTATATGTAGCTAGCAGATATATTAAAACTTTATTATCCCTATATATGTTATCATTGCTTTAACAAATGTTAAATCATTGCACACGTTACTTCATAAAAGAAATATTTACTTTCTTATCTTTTTATTCTTAATTCATACAAAATTTATTTAAAAAAAAAAATTCATAATACACATATTCATTTAACTTATATGATATTTGATATCCTAACAACATTAAAAATATAAATTAGCTAATAAACACATCCTTCCAATAATGCTTCTTATACAAAATGAATAATTACATTACAATAGGAAACATCTACAGAACTGCTTGATTAAGAACTGAAGGAAAAAAAAATATACAATCAATTCTAAAGTTTCAGCTTATGCAACAGTTTTTTAAATGGTTACAATTTTTTGAGATATACACAGGGTGGCTCAAACGTCAGTTAAACATTGTAAATATTTAAATTGCTTCTTATTCAAATACTTTATAGCTTACAGACCTTACAAAGTCATTTGAAATGAGATCCTCCTTGTTCAATATACAAATTACAATGCTTAAATTAAATTATAACTTGTCTAAAATCCTCTGATAGCTTGATCGAGCGATTCCAAATTCAGCCGATGCCTTCCTTATCGATTTACCAGGATTGGCAAGGAATGCCTCTGCCACTTTCCGTACATTATCGTCAGTTACTGCAGTTCTCGGTCGACCCGATCTCGGTAAGTCTACTACTGCTCCCGTCTCTTCGAATCTCTTATTTAATTTGTAAATTGCCTGACGAGTGGGTGGTTCGGCAGCTGGATATTTTTCAATAAACATCTTTTTAACCGTTGCGTATTTTTTATCACATTTCCACCAATTTTGTAAAAGAAAAACACGTTGTTCTAAACTCAGTTTACGGTGTCTATTCACAAGTGTACCTGGAACACACAAACAAAACACAGTTAACTGACTTTTGAGCCACCCTTTATTCTTAGAGCAATACCTGATAGTCTAAATTACTCTAAGAACATATATCTCAAGACTATAACCATTAAGAAAGAATTGGATAATCTAAAATCATTAAAATTGTTTGTTTATCTCCATTTCTTAATGAAGCAGTTCTATTTGTGAAAGAAATTCAATTCCACTTTTAAATGAATAATATAAATAAAATTTAATCGTCAACAAAACTTAAAGTTTTCTTTATCACAAAGATGAGGAATAAGTTTTAAAAGAAACATTTTATTATTTAAATCTTTTTCATGAACTTCAAAATAATTATTATACAAAATCATGCAGGAAACAAAAAAATAAGTTATTATTAACAATAAATTGAATGAAAATTTAAACATTTAGCTACTTACCGCCAGATGCTTGCTCCGATTGAATGCCGTCTTTAGCTTCCACGTAACAATTTTGTGACCAAAGTCTGTCTTGCATTATTCTTGGCAATTTTCTTTCGGGATGAGGATGGGTAAAAATCTGTTTTGGAGTCTGGCCAAATTCCATGATTTGAACTTCAAGAGAATATCTTTCATTGATGTCTTTAATACTATAATAAAAATAAGGTCGTATGGCTAATTTGGTTATAGAAAACACAAAAAAAAAAAAAAAAATAGACTAATTTCATTAATGAAAAATTAAGTCTATACAAAATAAATTTTGAGTCCTTTTTGCCTATTAATATCCTTTTATTCCAGTCCAGGAACCACAAAAACAGCTGGCAACATGAAGCAACACTTCCACAAATAACCAATAAACACAATCTAAAAACTTACAAAATTAAAAATGATCTTGATGTGGACCCTTTTCTGTATGACGTCTACACATTAAAATTTGTTAAAATTCTTCACAACAGCATTCATGTTATATAATCACATTTCAGCTGAGTCCTCTGGTGGATTTCAGGCAGCCTAAGATTAATTTATATAATTGTACATAGAAGCCCAGGATCATTTTGACTAATTTCATTAATGAAAAATTAATTTTTCATTAATGAAATTAGTCAAAATGATCCTGAGCTTCTATGTACAAAAAAATAGAATTCATTGTATAGCACTTGTGAGATAACATGTTTCTTAATGGTTATTTCCACCTTTTAATATAACTTTTACGTATTTTTATCTTGTGAGTTTTATTGAAACTATTTTAGAGTCTGAAATGAATTTTGGATGTATTCTATACATATTAATTTTAATTATTGTAAAATTCTTTGTTTTGTAGATTTAAATATGTAATAAATTTAAGAAANATAAAATATTTTATGAACTTTTTACTTGGAAATGTTCTGCTGATATACTACAACAAGTTTAAAAAAAATTTCTTATGAGATAATGTCAATGTTAAATATTAATTTGTACCAAATAATATAATTCTTTGGATGTTTATGTGATTATTTATCAACATAGTTAACTTTTATAAGATATTCTAACAAACTTGTGATAAATATCTACAGCCAAACCAGCTTTTGAAACATCTAAAAAATGAGATAGAGGAATTCTGAGTTTTTTCATCTAGTGAAAACATAACAGATGTATAGACAAAATTTAGGAACTCTAAAAACTGTAATAACTCACCCCTAATGTCATACCTTGTAATCAAGGTATCATTTATATATCTTCAGTATAGGAATGGAAACTTAATAGCCATTGTAGCCATAAATATCCTTTTTTTCTATAGCTCTCATAACTATTTCTGCCATGAGGAACCCATTGGTACTCCTTACCTTTGCAGATAAAAGCTATCATTAAACTAAAAGTAATTGTTGAAAACAACTAACTCAAAGTGGCTCTCACAGCAAATTCCTTATTGATAATAAATTATAATTGAGGCAGTCTTGTTAGCTAATTCCTTTGCTAACAAGAGTGACTCAATTATAGATTCAAAAAGACATAAGATGACAACATCAATTTTATAGAATGTATAGGACAAAAGAAATAAATTTCTTAGCTCCTTAAATATTCAGTTCCTAGCATCCAGCAACAATAAACTACAGTATATAGAAATAATCTCCATCAAATCCATCCAATGAACAAAGCGATAATAAATACAAATATGTCGCACTAATCTTGTAAAGCTTTGCAATTATTATTATCTGCAAAGCTATACAAGGTTAGTGTGACATATTTGTATTTATTATCGCTTTGACAGTCATTTTTTGACTGATCATCATTCTTTTTCTTTGTTATGGGCCTACACTGTATAACAGCCAGAAAATTATAATAATAATGACAGTGATTCCGATTACTTTTTCAAAAAATACAAAATAAAAAAAAAGTTTAATGTTTAATCAGGCCATATAACAGAAAATTCGGTATCCACTTCCATGCTCAACAGAAAGTGTTTGCATATTTTTAACAGCTGTATTTACTTAACATAGATATGTAATTTAATTTGTGAAATTTAACATGTTATTGCTAATGAGAGATGATATTCTTTGTTTAAAAGCTTATTTTAAACTTTCTACATCATATTTTGTTTGAATAAAATCAAGTCTAATTCTGCAAATAAAATAAAAAGCATAATATTCATGATGTGCAAGTTTTGTAAAGGCTATAATGCTATACAAACAGTAAAAAATTCTTGTAGTGTTTACGGGATAGATGCTCCTAAAGTTTGAACACATGAAATGCTATTTTGAAAGTTTTGTTTGGGAAATTTTGAACTAAAGGATACATAACATACGTGCCACCCAAAAGCTGTTGACAAAGAGAAATTGCAGGAAGAAATTGTTAAAAATCAATTAACAACAACTTGTTAACGAACAACAAATCTTACTGTGTGACTGATACATATTGTTGAAACACTTCAACCACTTGAAATAGTTGTAAACCATGAATAGTTTTTCACAATGTGTGTGGAAAACAAACAAATTAGATAGAGTATAATTTTGTCTGACTAAGATAGACAGATCTAAGGTTTCATTTTATTTTTTAATTAGTTACTCATTTTGTTCTAGTGAGTCATGATTGTTCTGTAGAGTACTGAGAAGCCACTGTATTTGATTAATGTGATTTTGATATATGCAATGGCATTGAGAGATTAATTAATCGCATTAATCAAGGGATACCCATAGTAGATAACCCATATGTGGAAACCTGTTTACTATGGAAGAATTGCTCGGTCCCACAGGATACCATTATAGACAGGTTTGACTGTATCACTAAAAGAGTTTACTAAGATAATATGCAATATTTATTTTCAATGTAAGGATTTTAATTATGTTTGGATCGTTAAATTTAGTAGGTTATTTGAATATAACTAGTTAATATTTCATAATTAAAAAATATATATTACCTTGTGAAACAGAAAAAATATTCTTTCCATCTGACGAAATAGTTACGTCCGTTACTTCTCTATAAAAATATTTAAGTTATTAAAACGGTCTTTACAAATAATTACGCCACTTATGAAAAAAGACATTACTTACTCTTTATGCAATTTATATTCAGTAATTATTGTAAGAGATTCCATATTTCTGTTCCAATGACATTCTTGCATAATTGATTTTTTGTGTTTTGTTCGATATGTTAATACTTCGCAACTGTCTCTTATCTTCTAATGAATACATTTTCAATAAACTATCTGTAAAGATTATACAGATTAATAATTCAAAACCTGTTATTATTTATATAATGTTTTGGTGTCATATCTTATAGAATTTTCTTTAATTATTCATTTAAATGATGACAAAAGATATAATAATGCTGTAGCTATTCATTTAGTTAGAGTAATTAATATCATTGTTTAACCTTCACTATCTAAAACTACTGTTTTAGTTTATTTAGCAAAGCGGCGTCTTTATTTTTCTTTTCAACAAAAAACAGAATTGTTTCTTACAAATTTTATTTTCTAGAAAACAATTCTATTTGTTACATTCCACTTGGCTGATAAATTTTCTTTTAATAATATCTATAAAATATTTTATGAACTTTTTACTTGGAAATGTTCTGCTGATATACTACAACAAGTTTAAAAAAAATTTCTTATGAGATAATGTCAATGTTAAATATTAATTTGTACCAAATAATATAATTCTTTGGATGTTTATGTGATTATTTATCAACATAGTTANCTTACTCTTTATGCAATTTATATTCAGTAATTATTGTAAGAGATTCCATATTTCTGTTCCAATGACATTCTTGCATAATTGATTTTTTGTGTTTTAAAGATGGTTTATCTGTAAAATTAACAAATAATTAGTTAAAAAATCATTTATTAGATTAAATATATCTATTTATGTATTTACTTGCATATTACTGACATTTACTACTACTTTATTTTTAAATTAATACATTTTTTGTATTTTTAATAAAGAAAACTATTTTGTCACTTACGAAAGGGTAAATGGAAAAATGGTACATCAATTACTTAATTACTTAATGCTTTAAGTCACTACTGACAAAATGGAAGTAATACATTAAAAATCACACACACACACCATAAATGTTTGGAAAAATTTACAACAAAACTTACAAGAGATTAAGCAATGACAGGAAGAACTCAAAGAAAGTTATAAGCTAAGTGCATTTTAATTCAAAATTAATGTTTTTAATATTATTTATCTGTTCTTTTTTTATTTTTTGACTCTTTCCACTCCTTGAGCACCAGGAGAGCCCTTTACAGGTCCGTCCTGGATTTGGTTGGCCCATATGGGGAGGCCAGGTGGCAAGAAAAGGCCTAATATATCAAGGATAGATAATCCCCAAAAATTTATGGTGTTGATCTGGGTCTCGATTTAGAGTCTACAGTAGCAATAGATCAATGCCTTAACCACCTTCGACATTCGACCAGCTTACCATTAACCCTCGATATAACAGAACAATAGAAAAAGCAATGATCCAATAATGTCAACTGTCTGTTATATCCAAAGATATCACAATCAGTTACAAAAACTTTATGATGTACTGTACACTAAGAGAGACAAAATAAGTCATATTGTGGTAAATATGAAAGAAACAAAGCTCAAGTTACTAAACAAGTTCAAACAACAGTTGCTTGTGCATACCTAAAGACATTCTGCACACTAACAATTACTATTAATATTCACAAATACTATATTTCATCCCTTGATAAAATATCTCTCTCAAGTTTGAAAATGAATTGAGGATTCTCTTGCATAATATAGTGTATAATTGTTATAAATCCAGGCAAATCAATGGAAAATATGAAAAAATTAGCTATTATTTTCCATTAATTTGTATGCATTTATAACAATTGTATTATGCAAAAAAGATATCAATTCATCATTTCCAAAACCAGTAGATAGAACAAGCATATTCTGAAGACGATTTCTGCTTTGACAGGTGTCACGAAATGAGCAGATTTAACCCATTATTTTCAAAATCCATTATGCCAATCTGTAAAAATATACAATGTACTAAAGGCAATTTAATTTGGATACATATCTGAATATAAAAAAACTAATATATGAAATATATAATGTTAACAAGATAACCCAAATAACTTCATTTAATAGTGTATTTTTCTCTCTCAAATATCAATTTTAAAAAATTGCAGACCTATAAATTCCCACTGGCATCTGTCTGTCAGTCTGTCCTTCCTTAATGTCGAGAATGGAGTTAGATGGATGAAAGTCGAGACCAGACGTGGAAAGCTTTGGAGCATAGACAACTGTTGTGACTCTGTCGTTAACAGGTACAAGACACTACTAAAATTGAAAGCATTGTGCAGCCCAGCATTGTAATGATGTATCAATAAATCTAAAAATATAAATCTCTCTAAATCTGCAAATCATAATTAGAATATACATGAGGAATAGCTGTTTTGTTCAAGATAATTACTGTAAAAATAACATCATTTTTTGAGTAGAAATTTTTAAAAATTCTAATAAATAATTCTATAATGTGATAAAATATTAATTTGTTAGGAATACTGAATTTAATGAAGTTAATATGACTTAAATGTTTTAAAACAGTGGAGTAACTGAAATATTTAAGGCTCTTTGAATGAAATCTGAATTCATTAACTCAAATTCACTCAAAATGAAAGTTTAATTCTTTAAAATTAGATTTTTTAAAAATAATTTTGAAGAGAGGATTGACCTTTGGCTGCTCAAAATTCAATTAATACACATTGGATGGACAAATTTATAATTTTATGACAAAAAAGATGAGTATCGCAAACTCCTATATAATGTAACAAAAAAATTGTGACTGGTACTCGTAAAAATTTGCATTTTGTCATTCAAATGTGTTCTTCAACTTCTGGGTCTAGGTTTAAACTTGTCTCGATAACACGATTTCCTATAATGCGAAACATATCCTATTCAATATTTTATGTTTGTAGTTTCATACCCTTTGAGTATCGTTAAGTTTAAATTATTTCTTTTTTTCTAATATAAATTCTCCTACTTATCCTTATTTTTCTTATTAAGGAATTTCTTTATCACAAAAAAACCAGGTATTTTGCTTTTTCAGTTTTTCCTTGATATATTAGTCTGAAATTATTATTATTATAAAAAAAATCCATTTCTGTTTACTTGTTCTCAAAGTCAAAATATTTAACGTTATGCTATGTTTACGAATGATTTATTTCCAGTTATTTTACTGTCCACTCTTAACTTCGTATTTGACAAAAGGAGTTCTTTTGCAATTTAAAGCATCACTGGCATTGTGAAGTTATATATTAATCGAGATATCACATTGGATGATTCGAACGTTTTGAAAAATTGAGGTGTAATAAAACTCATTTACATAAACTATGTCAATGTAGTTCTCTACAGATTGACGCAATATCTAATGCTAAAAATGTGTTCAATTTACTTTTCGGGGTTGATTTAAATATATTTCTAGATAATTTTAAAGTTTTAACTAACGCCCTACATCTTTTAATTTGTAAGTAGTTAAAATTTTATATTTTGCTTTATCAAACGTTTTGATTAAATGTACATAAAATTTAGATTTCTGATTCTTTCCATCCTGTGGGCCCTAAGAGAACACTTTAACCATGCCATAAGTAAGTGACTGGCAATGAGGGATGGGACCCAACATATCAGAAACAAGAATGCTGCCTTAACACCTTGGTTATCCAACTTTAAATAGTATTATTGGGCTATTTTAAAGTTTATTTGAATTTAATTACAAATAAATTTAACATTCAAAATAAAGTTTAATCATTAAACTATAATTTCCATTAATAATTTTAGTATGTTTATAGAAAACTTCGGCTCACAGAACGATAAAAATTAATCCTGCACATTAAGGATCAGCTACATCAGAATCAATCTTCACTTTAGAAACATAATTTAAAATTTAAAATCCAGATTATGTTATAATACAGAATGTAGTGTAAACATATATATCATTTATACACATAGAAAAGATGTCAACCTAGAGATTCAGCGATATAGTACAAGCAACATACATGCTCAGTATATACAAATAACAATCTGAATCTCGATACCATACTCATTTCAAGGACTGAATTTGTGATTAACTTCTAATTAGCTAAAAGATAGTTTAATGATAAAATCTAATACTGCTGTTGTTATTATTTGGCATTTGATTTTAAATAAAAATAATTTAAAATCATCTAAAAAGGTTATTTAATCATGTACAGGTATACCTCAAGTTACATCGTTTCGAATTACGCTGTTCTCGATTATACATCATTTGTCAAAAAATATATGGAAAAATAAAAATCAAGTTTAAGTTATTTTATTTGACTTTATATCTGTCTGCCACAAATATTAAAATCGTAATATCATTAGAGAAGTGTTAAAAGCACACAGAATCATATTAAAATAAATTTACAGTAAATGTTAATACAATCATCATAAATTGTAGAGAACGAAATATGAAAACATCTGTGACTCTGTGTTGTTGTCTTATTTAGCGGTCTTTAAGAGCTCAATATATTGGCATTTTCCACGGTAGTTCCAATATCTATTGTTTGGCGTCATCATCAGTGTCACTCGTTATTAGTAAATTTAACATAAATTAATTTATTTTTTTACTACTGCAAAATAATTTTAATAACTGTATTTGTTATTAACCTTACAAAATCATCTATTTTTATAATATCTTAGAGCAAACCACATTCACAAATTGTAAACATGTATATTTACAAGTATGTACGTACTGTACATGTATTCGTAAATTTAGATTACTTTTTTCCCTGTACTATATTAAAAACTAAAATTTATTTGTTTGCAAGCTTAAAATAGATTCTTATTAATCATATATTATTAAAAATGCATTTATAAATAAAATACAGAACTGGAAATGGTTATTTGTAGTTTAGCCTAGTGACAAGTAAATTTGCCTTAAGCAAAAAACGACATAAGCCATTTTTTGCTCTTGGAACCAATTACTGACGTAAGGCGAGGTATACCTGTATTAAATGAAGTAATTATTTGGTAATTAATTAACACATTCACTGCCAGAAATGCTTTGAAGCAGTCTATGCTGCAACACTCACCTCATGAGAAACATAGAAGTTTGCTGTGTTTATCACAGAAAATTTATTATTTCTTTTTTATTATGTATTGTATACTTTTAAAAATAAATTATATTTTATATAATTTCTTTGATACTTTATATGTAAAATAATTTTAAGGTTTTATTGGTTTTTATTCTTGTTTTCTTTCAGGGAAGCTTTCATTGTTAATGTAGGCAGGCTTATTTTGCCCATTTTACTACAAAAGATACAAGATAATGGCCCTATATCTTTTGTAGTAAAATAAAATAAAATAAATAAATATATAAATTTATTTATTTTACTACACAACTAGAACATTGCTCCTATATGTAGCTAGCAGATATATTAAAACTTTATTATCCCTATATATGTTATCATTGCTTTAACAAATGTTAAATCATTGCACACGTTACTTCATAAAAGAAATATTTACTTTCTTATCTTTTTATTCTTAATTCATACAAAATTTATTTAAAAAAAAAAATTCATAATACACATATTCATTTAACTTATATGATATTTGATATCCTAACAACATTAAAAATATAAATTAGCTAATAAACACATCCTTCCAATAATGCTTCTTATACAAAATGAATAATTACATTACAATAGGAAACATCTACAGAACTGCTTGATTAAGAACTGAAGGAAAAAAAAATATACAATCAATTCTAAAGTTTCAGCTTATGCAACAGTTTTTTAAATGGTTACAATTTTTTGAGATATACACAGGGTGGCTCAAACGTCAGTTAAACATTGTAAATATTTAAATTGCTTCTTATTCAAATACTTTATAGCTTACAGACCTTACAAAGTCATTTGAAATGAGATCCTCCTTGTTCAATATACAAATTACAATGCTTAAATTAAATTATAACTTGTCTAAAATCCTCTGATAGCTTGATCGAGCGATTCCAAATTCAGCCGATGCCTTCCTTATCGATTTACCAGGATTGGCAAGGAATGCCTCTGCCACTTTCCGTACATTATCGTCAGTTACTGCAGTTCTCGGTCGACCCGATCTCGGTAAGTCTACTACTGCTCCCGTCTCTTCGAATCTCTTATTTAATTTGTAAATTGCCTGACGAGTGGGTGGTTCGGCAGCTGGATATTTTTCAATAAACATCTTTTTAACCGTTGCGTATTTTTTATCACATTTCCACCAATTTTGTAAAAGAAAAACACGTTGTTCTAAACTCAGTTTACGGTGTCTATTCACAAGTGTACCTGGAACACACAAACAAAACACAGTTAACTGACTTTTGAGCCACCCTTTATTCTTAGAGCAATACCTGATAGTCTAAATTACTCTAAGAACATATATCTCAAGACTATAACCATTAAGAAAGAATTGGATAATCTAAAATCATTAAAATTGTTTGTTTATCTCCATTTCTTAATGAAGCAGTTCTATTTGTGAAAGAAATTCAATTCCACTTTTAAATGAATAATATAAATAAAATTTAATCGTCAACAAAACTTAAAGTTTTCTTTATCACAAAGATGAGGAATAAGTTTTAAAAGAAACATTTTATTATTTAAATCTTTTTCATGAACTTCAAAATAATTATTATACAAAATCATGCAGGAAACAAAAAAATAAGTTATTATTAACAATAAATTGAATGAAAATTTAAACATTTAGCTACTTACCGCCAGATGCTTGCTCCGATTGAATGCCGTCTTTAGCTTCCACGTAACAATTTTGTGACCAAAGTCTGTCTTGCATTATTCTTGGCAATTTTCTTTCGGGATGAGGATGGGTAAAAATCTGTTTTGGAGTCTGGCCAAATTCCATGATTTGAACTTCAAGAGAATATCTTTCATTGATGTCTTTAATACTATAATAAAAATAAGGTCGTATGGCTAATTTGGTTATAGAAAACACAAAAAAAAAAAAAAAATAGACTAATTTCATTAATGAAAAATTAAGTCTATACAAAATAAATTTTGAGTCCTTTTTGCCTATTAATATCCTTTTATTCCAGTCCAGGAACCACAAAAACAGCTGGCAACATGAAGCAACACTTCCACAAATAACCAATAAACACAATCTAAAAACTTACAAAATTAAAAATGATCTTGATGTGGACCCTTTTCTGTATGACGTCTACACATTAAAATTTGTTAAAATTCTTCACAACAGCATTCATGTTATATAATCACATTTCAGCTGAGTCCTCTGGTGGATTTCAGGCAGCCTAAGATTAATTTATATAATTGTACATAGAAGCCCAGGATCATTTTGACTAATTTCATTAATGAAAAATTAATACTATACAAAATAAATTTTGAGTCCTTTTTGCCTATTAATATCCTTTTATTCCAGTCCAGGAACCACAAAAACAGCTGGCAACATGAAGCAACACTTCCACAAATAACCAATAAACACAATCTAAAAACTTACAAAATTAAAAATGATCTTGATGTGGACCCTTTTCTGTATGACGTCTACACATTAAAATTTGTTAAAATTCTTCACAACAGCATTCATGTTATATAATCACATTTCAGCTGAGTCCTCTGGTGGATTTCAGGCAGCCTAAGATTAATTTATATAATTGTACATAGAAGCCCAGGATCATTTTGACTAATTTCATTAATGAAAAATTAATTTTTCATTAATGAAATTAGTCAAAATGATCCTGAGCTTCTATGTACAAAAAAATAGAATTCATTGTATAGCACTTGTGAGATAACATGTTTCTTAATGGTTATTTCCACCTTTTAATATAACTTTTATGTATTTTTATCTTGTGAGTTTTATTGAAACTATTTTAGAGTCTGAAATGAATTTTGGATGTATTCTATACATATTAATTTTAATTATTGTAAAATTCTTTGTTTTGTAGATTTAAATATGTAATAAATTTAAGAAATTTTGTATTCATATTTACTGGTGTGATAAGCCCTAAATTAACTGATTTAAGTTATAAGAACATTTAATAAAATTAAGGGCAAAAAGCAAAAAAAACAATATGTAAGGCCATACTATTATATATATAGGCTATTTTGGACTATAATAAACTCAGAATGAAGACATTGAGAATTTCTCTAATTCTCAAATTACTAATACTTGCTTGGGAGTACATAATCAAAGAGAGCTCCTAATTTAATGCGGAGCATGTGGTCGTTGCAAAAATCCTTTATTGTTATATTTATATTTATTTTATTGTATCTTATTTTATTATAATTTGTTTGATTAGTTCAATTTCAATATTTAATGGGTTATTTAGATGGTTTCTATTCTGTTTATTTTGAATTTAACATAATATTCAAAACACTTTTAATTCATATTCCTTAGTGATTCGATAAGAACATTTGTAAATGAACTAATGTAAAGGTTTGTGTAGCATCAATAACCTGATGATGGCCCATTAAATGGGTTGAAAACATTTGTTTAACGTAATAAACAAAGTCTCTCAGTAATAAGGTGTGTTTGATATACAATAATTACTAATACATCAAACCATTCAAAACTCAACTTTTTTTGCCACCTTTAATCTTATCATTACAAACTTTTCATTTCTCATCAATTTTTTCATTGTCTTTTAAATAAATAATTATTGCAAATTTTTAATTTTTGTTATTACTGTTAATTATAACAATTTAAACAATATCTACGTGAATATAATGGATATTTCCGAAAATAATAATTATATGATTTACTCAAAACTCTATAGTAGCAATTCTCAAAGTTATCAATCCATGAATCATTTAAACAGTCACAAATGAACTGCATATAACTAAGGCTCCCATCCAGGTTTTGCCATGTAAATAATAGATTAATAGATTGTGTGCCAAACTATTCTGTTTAACAAGTAATCTAATGTATGAGATGTGTAATGTATGAAAGTGTTTCTTTCTCTGGCTAAACAGTGTAGAATTTCATTCTGGACAAATGACTAGGTCTCTCTGTGGACCATACTTTCAGAACCATTAATCGAGTTTAGCATATTTCATGTTATTATCTAGAATATTTTTATTCATATTTATATTTAATTTATATGAAATATTATAGGTAATTATTTAGATTTTTAAAATTATAGGTAGAAAAAGTAAAATTTCTTACCTGTCTAGGTCAATTGCACCTTCATATGTCAAATAATAGAAAACTAAATTTCAAAAATTTATTATATATTAACTTATTTAATGATTACAACATTAAATGCTTATTTACATCTATATAAACCTAATTAATCTTTACCATTTTTTGCTTTCACAGCTTCCTCTCCTTGCTGTTTATATCCAAACATGAGATCTATCCAATGATGGATATTCTCTGAAACAATATCAGATTCCAAGGCACTTCTTAGTTTTATGATAAAATCCTGAGGATCTGAAAAGAAAAGAATTGATTATATATAATTAGGCTTAAAATTTTAAAACTTCTCAATTTCTAAAATATATGATTTTAAATATTATAATTTAAATTCATTATTTACAGTTTTATATTATTTATGTAATATAGTTTTGGCTTTGAAAGTTTATGACATTTCAAAAATATAACATCTTAAAAAATTCTGAGCATGTGTGATGTTAGAGTGACGCTCCATTAACCCAATGTCAATAGGATCAACATGGTGCCGAGTATTGAATATACTACCTTATTAAATGGTGGAAAATTTTTTCGTTCTGCAGGACACAATTTTACATATCTTTGCATGTAAAACTGTACAAATTCACCTTTTATGATTGTTTAAATGCCATTTTAATTTTTCCAGGTTATTCCTACCCTTCATTGGCTTGAAACAAAAACACACTATCCTTACTTTGTGCTTTGTACACTTTCATTTCATATAAATACAGATGTACTCTATTTATCAAAGTACATGAACAGTAATGTACTGTAGCTGTTTCTGTAATAATTATTGGTTCCAAATGTGCTAAATATTTCTGCTTTGCTATCAAACCTGTGCACTAATGTCTTTGGAAAATCATGCATGAGCTAACTGATTTTACCAGCACAGCATCATGTCATCTTGACATCTGCCATCCCTAAAAGGAGAGCCCACACCCCTTTCCAAGAACTGCACATTTTGAACACTTCTACATGAAAATCTTAATTCCTGACTTATCTAGTGCATTGATAACCTCCAATGACCAGATTGACATGACTGGTTTGCTGGTATACAGAATGCTTAACAGATTTTTGCTGTAATTCTGAATTATTAAGATTAACCTAATTCTACATTTAAATGAAAAATAAATACCTGTTAATCAAGTAACGATTATTATACATTGTTATTAATTAATAAATTTTTTGAATTAATGAACAATTAATGAATAACTTTGTATTAAAATTTAATGATAAATGAAGTTAAAATTTGTTCATTGATTTATCAAATAAATAAATACTAAAAATAACTAAAAACATGGGAATGATTTGTTAATCTAATGAATTAAATTGTCACATCAAAAATAAAGACAAATGTCATCACAACATGAATCTGCTATTTGACAGCACTCAAATTATTATTAATATCAAGTTAATAATAAATAAAAAGCTGTTAAACTATACTATTAACTAAAATATGTTTTTTCACATAACATTAGCTCATTAACTGTGAGTGTAGAGACAGATCTTACTTATAATAAGCAAAACGTTCCTATCCTATTGCAAATTGCCATGAAATTACAATGCAAGAATAAATTTAAACTAAAATTCTGTATGAAATAAATGGCTTTAGAGTAAAATAGTCTTCTAACTGACGATTATATTTACTTTCATAAATTTTCATAAAATAACAGTAGTTATTCCTATACTTTGTTTTCTATTAAAAAACATATAAACAGACTAACAGCCATATCAGAATTTTGTTTCAGAAACAGATTTTTATATTTGCTTCGATATAATTATTATCTGGGCAATGCAATGAAGTCACAATGGTTTATGAGATTACATTAACAAATTAAAATTAAATAAAAGAAGATATAATTTGAGAGAAATTACTTTCTGGAAAAATCCAGAACACTGGCAAGAAAGCAATGCAGAGTTGTATTGATTAATACTTTGTTCATTAGAAGTTATGGATTTATCTAAGAATTTATAATGTGCATATTTTAATTCTCTTGATTTTCTTTCTCTCATTCATATCATCAGCAAAATGCTCTTTAGAAGACTAACATGCAGCAGTTGAGATGATAAAAAATTAATCATTTTGATTCATTTTCAATAAAAAAAATTTATTAAAGTTATTGTATATATTGAATATTTACAAGATAATCTTACCTTTAGCCCATTTTGGAAGCTCTACATCTTTAACCTTTGTTCCATCTTGTCTAAATCCAAATTCTAAATTTTGAGAATTAACAAGAAATTCTCCTTTGTTTTCTGGCTCATAAAACTGTGGAGTAAGTTCTTTAAAATCAGATGTATTTGTAGTTACATTTCGCCAAGTATCTGGTATACTTTAAGAAATTAATTTATTACTACTTACTATAAGAAAATTTACTTTCAAAATAATTAATAAAATTACAATATGTTAATTAGTAGAACGAATTAACACATTTATGATAAATCCACTTTCTATTTTTGCAAACAATACTAACAAAAATAGTCTACATAAAGCTATTCATTAACAATAAGTAGGACTTAACAGCATGAATGTATTACAGAAAGCTGTTATACTAAACACATCATACAGTCAGGAAATTCTTAAACACAAATTACTTTTTCATATCCACACAACTTATTTTGTTTTTGAGAAAAATAGTATGAAGATATCATTTTGAAAGAAGAATCTTACATTAACATCATATAAATAAGATAACAATTTTTCTGGTAGCTTGGCTTTGCATAGCACAGACACCAATATTAACTGAATAGAATGAAATTCATACACACAGTAATAATAATTCCTTAACTCCTCCTTTAGTTCACAATTCAATTCCTAATAAGATGATTTTAATTATTGTATTGCTAATTTTTCTCAATTTGTAAGTTGAATTCTAAATTAAAACCATAAATTATTTATAGTATTATATCAGATACATAGTTCAATAATGTGAGAAAGAAAAAGATCTTTCGTATTATACGAATGTAATGCATTCTAATATGTTATATTTTAATTCTTAGTTATAATCACTATCAGATCTGTTAGTCACTAACATTCTCTTTGATTTCCATTGTAATTTGGTTAGTGTTTCTCTTACATAATATTCAAGATTGAGAAAAACTAACCAAATTTTTCTACTAGCCATTTCATAATCCAGCATTATCTAATGATTAGTCTATATCCTGTAAAAATTTCTATCTTGTACCTAATTATTGCTTTTTATACTGTACTTAAGAGCAATTCTGAAATATTACGGGTGTTTCTGGTTTTTTTATAAAATTTATCTGAACTTTTTATTTATTTTATTATAAATCTTTATTAGATACAAAATTGAACTGAGGTAGTTCTATACACTATATCATCTTGTAATAAAACCAAATTTATATACAGTGATACCTCAGTTTTCGTCAATAATCCATCCAAAGACAATCGACGAAATCCAAAACCGACGAAAACCGAAGCAATTATCTCCATATGAATCAATGTAAATCCAATTAATTTGTTCTAGACACTCCAAAATACATACCAAAAACACATTTTATAAAGAATAAATATAGTGTTTAATACTAAAAACAATAAGAAATTAATTTAAAATGAATATAAAAGACTAAAGTAAAGAATAAATGAACATTTGACATGGCATTTCCAATGATACAGCTAAAAGGAAAGCAATGGAATTGCATGTATTCAAACTCTCCGCATCAATCTAGTGTGATGCTGCCAGAAGTATCGCAATTACTGGCTTTTTCTAGAGAACACAAACACTGACAGCCAGGAATTTCAGGAGGAAAAAATAATAATGGTGAATGATATAAACTTCCACATTATGTTAAATTTTTGAACTTATTTAATGAGAACAGCTTAATGAAAAATGAATATTTCAAAAAGAGAAATATAGATGAAAATTTTTTAAATTTCTGTAAGAGTTTAAATAATTAAATCAATCCTAAGATAACACTTTAACAACAAAAAAATTATGTGATGTCTTATGTAAATATACTAGTGTATTAAAATATTCTATTAATGTACTAACCGAATATTAATTTATTCATCAACAAATAAATAAAATTCAAAATTATCAATACAAAATAGAGCTCTTACAATCGTCATAGTGACTGCCATCTTGTTTGTTGGTGTATAGAGTACTGAAAAAGACGCTTGCAGCAATCGGAAGTTATCTGAGATTTTGAACAGAGGTGCTGAGAGGCACCAAGATTTTGAATACGCCTATTGTTTGTCTGTTTAGATGCATGGGATAATGCTCACACAACAACAACAACACCACACTGAGCAGGAAAACGTGTGGTTTCTCAAAATTAGCAGCGAGGATACGTGGAAAAATCAATGAAATCTGAGGCAACCAACAAAAACCGAGACAGATTTTTTGTGAAAGAATTCAACAATAACTTAAGTCAACAAAAACTGAGGTATTACTGTACAACAAAATTATTAAAGAAATTTTAATTAAAGTTATATGTAATTCCCTCATGAATGAATCTCACAATTTTTGTTTTGATTTTTTGTTATATTGTTATTAACTTAAACACACACTAAAACACACAGGTATCTTACACTTCCTAGTTACAGAACAGAAAAACTTTGGGTTATATATCTCTTAGTTTATAAATATATGCGACATTGTGATTGATTTTATAAAATATTATTAGTTTATGAAAACAGTTAACTGCAACTGAAGAGGGGACTAGACCTGAAAATGTACATTTCAGAGTTATTAAAAGAATAAAGTAAGTTTTTCTAATTGTCATCATCTTGATTGTGGTATGATAAGTCCTAATCAATAGCTATATTAGAGGAAGTAAAACACACACACATTATATATTCAACAATAAATTCATTCATGTACACAATCAACAATACTAAAAAATTTAACATTTTAAGTGATAGTATAATCAATTGCGTACTTGAAATAATTTATTATAGAAAGTATTTATCAATTATATTTAAGTAATTTAATTCTAATTATGTTGTTTTAATAATGTGAATAACATTCTAACCTAGGAGACCCAAAAGTGGTCAATAAAGCATTTCCACAAGTCAAAATTTAGTAAAGGATCAGACTGGAGTTGATTGAATGGATTATATTGATGGTATTAGGCAATGCAACACACAGGTTATCTGCCAAAAGGAAAATGTACCTTCTGGGAAGAGTTTTTATGAAAAACTGACCCTTATTAGACAAGTGATGAACCCACAAATCAACTGCTAATGTTTAGTGGTTTTAACCATTCAGCCACTGGTGGGCAAAATTGTCAACTGAAAAATGTTCATTAAAAATCAGTAGCCCAAAATCATTATGTATATTATGAGACAGCTCAAGGACAACATAAATTTGCCCACTAAGTAAATCTTTCATATAAAAATGTGTGGATTAATATTGACTCACTGAATTTATTTATTATGACTATTATTAGCAAAAAAAGGAAGAGGAGGTCAATAAAAAGTCAAGGAATCCTTGTAAGTGTTAACAGTCAAAGAAGTTTGAGGTCCCCTGTTCTAGACTAAGTAAAGAAAAGTAAACATATATGATGGCTTCAATGTTTAAAATAAATGAGAGAATTTATTATGAATAAGAAAAAGCATCATAACTTTGTAAATTGCCAAAGAATAAAATCAGAACCAATGTGTTATTTAATAGCAGCTTAATAAAAATAACTTTTAATATCTGTAATTACTACAAGAAAAAAATAATAATTTAAGTAATCTTTAACATTAAATAAGAGAAAATATGATTTCCTATTTACAATTTTAAAGATATATTTTTTATTGTAGAAATTATTTAAAAAAAATTCAATTTTCTGATTAAAATTTTCAATTACTATCAGACTACAATAAGATATAAAATAATTTGACTAGAGGTAGATGCCATCATCCTGTCATAATTTTAATTATTGTTGTAATTATTAAGTTCTGAAGTAGGCCCCAAATGAAACATAAAATTTATATTGTCCCCAAATGAAACCAAAATAAATTTGCTTAGAATAGAATTTTGAAGTGCAAGAAACATTTTACAGCTGGAAAAGTGAGCAAGATTGTTTGTAAGTCAAGTATTGTAATTATTAAAATTATCATGCATAAAAGATAGTACCTAAATGACTACCTGACTACCTCTAGTCAAATTATTTTATATCTTATTATAGCTCAAACTTCTAGCAGATCATTTGGCTTTACTTAAATAGAGATTTATGGATTTATCATTTATATACTATTCAATTATTTAAATATTAGATTAATAAAAAATAAAATTTGTAAAATTTCTAACATCAAAAAATTAGAGAATACTTAAAATTAATTTTCAAATTTATTATGATTCATATTGATCTGATTTATGTAAGTTATAACTATATCAGATAATCAGTTATAAATAATCTTAATTTAGTTATGTGTAATAATATAATCAAAAATATATAATGGATATCAAGTTTACAGTTATATGAATTCTTAGTAATTACATAATATTCTGCAATATGATTATTCACTTAAAAATATTTGCAAGTTTTAAATAATGCATTTAAAAAGACATTCTGATTACAAAACCAAAGCAAAATAATTCAATAATTAAAAAAATACATTTTTATTTTGGTGAAATAACTTACCTGTTAAACATTCTATCTGGATGATCAAACTTTCCATTTTGAAGACATAACATATATTGTGGCACTAATTGGAAGAAAATTTATTAGAAAATAGTTATTTTTCAATAAGAAAAATAATTACATGAACTAATTACTAATTCTTAATGAACTTGTAAAATTAATTTAAAAATTGTGTGTACTAGCATAGCACATTATATATTTTTTTTAATTTAATGTATATTGCTATCAACAGCATCTTAGAAATAAATAAATACATAGTCACGTAAAAGATTATACAAGAAGTGCATATATAGATATGAAATAAATTTTGAAATATTAACTCTATGTTTAATTTCTCACAATTTTATATTTATATGAGTGATTTGAAATTTTTGATGTATTTGTAAAAGCAATTGTTTTATAGAACTATAAATTATAGGTAAATATAAACTTATGAAACATTTTCTGATCTTACTTTGCCTGACAAGATAGTACAGAACAAAGCCAGGAGTTGAATAATGTGAACCATACATAAATTTTGGATCTGCCATTTCTTCATACCTTTCCTGAAAGTAATTCCAAAACAATCTTTTATGTATAAAACACTATATTTTGTTATTTCTGATATTTTTTTCAAACATATATAATTTTAAGTTTGAACTACCATTAATTTTTGAAGCCGATCTTCATTTAATGCTCCTATAGGTTTGGATAAATCTCTATATGATGAAGGATCAGAGATATCTAAACAAGTAAAATTTGAATGAATTAATAAATATTAGAAATTATAAATAAAATAATAGTAATAATGAATTATTATATTTTAAACCTAAAGTTGAAGAAGTATAATTGGATATCACCCAGGGAAATATTGGATATTGAGTTAAATCATTGAAACTGCGGTCAGCCATGCTGCAAATGTAACATTTAAAAATTAGTAAAGAAAATTGCACTAATTTTTATTTATCAGTTACTTATTTACCTGTTCAGATATAAAAGATAATCATAATTAGATATCATTCCATTCTGCCATAAGAGAGTCATACTATCTGTAGCTGTGTCTTCTAAATCCAAAGCTGAAAATATTTTGCATACTTATGTTATTTTATCTGTGATTGCATATTTCAAGAAATATCTGTTAATTGCCATACCTGGTTGTTCTAAAAGTTTGCTATACAAATTCTCTCTTTCTTCATGAGATTTTAATGTCAAAAATAAATGTTTAATTGGAGAATTATTGGAACAATATAACTCGATACCCTTAAAAAAATGAATGAAACATTTATAAATGAGACATGTTGTTAAACAACCAACAATTTTTGAAAAACTTACAACATGTCTAAGGAGAAAACGACGTTTCACTGCTCTTTTTATATCTGAAAGCCTAATTTTGAGAACAGGCCACTAAAATATATTAAAAATAATTACTTGTAATGTAAATTATATTACTCAATCACAAATAAAAATCTCATTAAATAATTGTTTAGCATAATTTATCAATATTCTTTTTAAACTTGAAAAGTTTTATTTTAAATTTACTTACAGGTTCTGCATTGTTATAAGGTTGAAAATAAATTCGAGATGACGTAAGAAGAATGCGACCTGGATTAGTCACCAATGGGGTAATTCTGTTTCCCGTAGTTTCTAAAATAATTGTCTCATACAAATCTTCTAACCTATTACAATATTTATTAAAAGGTATTTTATCATAACAACACACAAAATTACCTATTTTAATAATATAAACAGAACATTTATATCAATTTCACACTTACCAACTTGTATCAAAACTCACTCTTGATTGCCTGGACATAACTATTGCTGCTATCTATAAAAAAAGAAATTGTTTTAAATACAGATATGCTCCCTTACTTACAAACAGGTTCGGTTTCCAAGGTTTTGTCGTAGGTCAAAAACTAATGCAGAAAGTATATTTATACACAGAATAACCACTTCTTGTTAGTGTTTGATCCTTCAATTCCTTAACCGAATACATTACTCTCATTTACCCGTTCACTACTGCTTAGTAAATGAGTATTTCAAATGCAGTTTCTTCACCTAATGCAGTTAGTTTTATAATGTCCAGTTTAGTTTCTATGGTAATTGAGTGACATTTCTTGCATTTATCTCTACAGTTTTCAACACATTTTTGAAACACTAATCATAAAAAATTTGTGAAAATTGCAAATAATATCAAAAAACATCATTGCTCTAACATTACCAATTTCAATATAACCTCACAAGTGGCAATGGAATCTCAGAATTTGCAGAAAAATGAAAAATGATATGCAATAAAAATAACTTCATATTAATTATAAATTTTATTATTTATTACTGACAAAAGACTGACTTCAATGTCCACAAATGACAAGAGAAGGTCACCATTCATGCAAAATTTAAATTTTAGACATAAGGTTAAATGTTCATAAGTAGGGAAACTACTGTATTTAATTCATAAAATTTAGTTTCCATGTATATAAATTAAAATTTTTATACAGGTATTTTTATCATGAGATGTAAAAAATATCTATAAATTACATTTTTCATTTAAAAATAATGAACTACACTATCTGGCCAAAAGTATTCGGACAGCTAGTGGTATGGACTCGGAGAATCCTGAGGCATATATTAATATGATGTTGGTCCTCCTTTCGCATCAATGACAGCATGCACACGTCTGGGGAGACTTTCCACTAGTTTTTGATAGGTGGCCATTGGAATTGACTTTCAGGCATCCCTCACAGCTGAAGTGAGTGCTGGCAGTGAGGATAGTCAATGTGGCTGGCTACGTAATCTGCATCCTAATTCGTAGCAAAGGTGTTCTATGGGATTTACATCGGGGATCTGAGAAGGCCAGTCCAGTTTTTGAACACCCATTTCGTCAAACCATGCCTGCGCAAGTCTTGATGTGTGAATGGAGCAGTTATCCTGCTGAAAAAAAAATGGGCCTTCCCCAAAATATTGGCATAGAGTTAGGAGAGCAGCATTGTCCAGAATGTCCACATACATCTTAAAGCTCATGTTTCCAACCACAGGAACTAAGGGACCCTGGCCAAACCATGAAAAACACCCCCACAACACGATGCTGCCACCACCAAACTTTACAGTTGACACAATGCAGTCATATAAGAAGCACTCATTGGGAATCCACCAAACCCAGATGCCTCCATTGGACTGCCAGATTGTAAAGAGAGATTCATCACTCCAAAGAACACTTTTTCACATGTCCACAGTCCAATGACGGTGAGCTTTGCACCATTTCAATCGACACTTCACATTCTGGAGAGTAATGTTCAGCTTGTGAGCGGCTGCACAACCCTGGAATCCCAGGTTTTTTAACTCTTGATGAACAGTCCTGGTGTAACACTAATGCCTGATGATCTTTGGAACTCCTGAGTGATTTCAACCAACGAGGGTGTGTGATTTTGTTTCACTATCCTTTACAGAGTTCTACGGCTGTATTCACTAATTTTGTTCAACCTGCCACGTCATTTTTTTCCACTTTCACTGCCTTGACATTTTCACTTCACAATTACATCACCCACAGTGGATTTTGGTTTCTGTAGAATGTCCGAAATTTCACGAAATGATTTCCCCCAAAGGTGGCATCCTACTATAATGCCATGATCAAAGTCACTAAGCTCCTTTGACTTACTCATTGTCTCAAAAATGCATAAATATGACTTGAGAAACCACTACCAACACTTTTATACCTTTCAATTACACATCAGAGACCATCATCTACAACAGCGCTGTCCAACTGGCGGCCCGCAGGCCGTATACAGCCCGCCAAATAATTTTTATGGCCTGCGTGTACATTTTACTATGAATAAATTTATGTTACTAAATTATTATTATTAATATTAAAATTATTTTACTACCGTGTTTCCCCGAAAATAAGACAGTGTCTTATTTCAATTTTTGCTCTAAAAAATGCGCTAGGTCTTATTTTCAGGGAAAAAGAATTCACATTTATTATTGAACAAAAAAAATTTCCAAATCGAACTTAGACGAGAATGACGTATATCCGGTGTGTCGAACTGTCGCCTTTTTATAGCGTCAACATCGGATTCGCTGGCCAATTAGTGCTTACTGAACCGTAGCACTATGCAAATGTCATGTGGTTTATCAACCTTCTTGGCCCCCGAAATGTTTGGTAAAGAAAATATGGCCCGCGGGCTATGATAAGTTGAACAGCGCTGATCTACAAGATCCACTTCTTTAGGAGGGTGTCTGGATACTTTTGGACAGATAGTGTATATGTTCACTCTAATAAAACTTGAATGAGATAAGATTGCTGAAAACACAAGGTTAATTGTAAATTAAGTTGACAACTTAATTTACATTAACCTCGTGTTTTCAGCAATCTTATGTTGACGAACACTAACATTTTCACTCTCTCTGAGACCATCTTCAGATCATCATTCCAAATATGATAAAGAAACCATCATAATTTTCAAATTTCAGCCAATACAATTTTTCAAAAGAATTTTAAAATATGCAGCAAATGTTCAAAACAAGCAGAAAAATTACACTTTACAGAAGCTGAATCTCAAATGAAACATTTAAAATTTAAACTAATGCTCAAAAACCAAACACAACAAAATAAAAAAATATATAAAACATAGATTTCCATGTCATGGTGAATATATAAAACATAGATTTCCATGTCATGGTGAATATATAAAACATAGATTTCCATGTCATGGTGAATATATAAAACATAGATTTCCATGTATGGTGATTTCCATGTCATGGTTCTTTCTACCTTTAAATTTAATGTGTTTGCTCTTTCTGTGCAAGAAGTAATTTTCTAATTGTTCCAAGGTTTTAAAGCAGCTGCTCTGTCTTGTGGGACATATAGAAACTAGTTCTCAACAAACCTATATTCCCATGTCTGTGGTGTATGCAGACAATGCAGTGATGCATGGCCTTTTCTTAAATTGCTCATACAGTCATGTTGTAAGCAAGCAGTTTATTTGTCATATTTGGAATGATAGTGTGAAGATGGCCTCAGAGAGATTGAAAACTTTAGTGCTTATCAACAAGGGTAGTATGAATTAGCTAGTAAAAATTTTTAAATTTTAAAAATAGCTAAAAATTTCAAAAAAGACACTTTTAACTGGATTTCCCATTTTTCTAATGGCAAAATGTCTTACTATGAATATTTCAGTTATGAAATTGCTTTATTCAAATTAACAATATATGACAATCTTATTGCTGAAGAACCTCGTGAAAATTGGGATTACTTACAGTTAAAATTTCAACTTCATTCTGACATAACTCAATCATTGTAATCATGTTCTCCAAGTACCATTAAAATGCTACAAAACACCTATTTATCCATCAAAATCAGTGATTTTAAATTACAAATAAAACTGTTGATTAGGTTCACTGATGTAAAATAAACTAATACAAAATGAAAGAAATGATCATTTAAAATTTTTCATTAACTGGAAGATTACCACTTTGGAATTTGTAATGTAAAATTATAGATTGCCTGTGTGTTCTAATATTCAAATGTCAAATTATATAGGCTTACAATATTTGACCTGAAGACTAGCCTATTAATGTAGTCAAATATGTTTGTCTATCTTATTAAACATTTTTGCTAAAAATATATTATGGTTGTCTCTTGTCTTATAGTGAGAGATGTAAATAAAACTTAAGAAAATATGCAAATTATCAGTCTTTTTTTTTTATTTAACAGTAAGAAAAACAATTAGTGAAGACAATAAGCACAAAACAAGTAAAATATAGTGAAATAAAATTGTAATCACTGATGGAAGAGAGATTTTGTTGAGAAAGTTTTCTGCACAACTGCATTACAATAAATGGCAAAAATGAGGAATATACAGTGTAAATGAAACAAAAGTAAATGGAGACTGGAATCTACAAGCCATCTGACTGGGATGTATAAGAATTTCAATCTCTTTGCTCTTGTTATTAAAATATTTTCCCATAAACATCAATCAGTGCTCAATGTATCAAATATTTCATCTTGTAACTGGGAAGAGGGAAAGTAACTCATAATATCAAGTATTTATGAATAAGGCACATACTATGTATGTAGTACTGATATATATGAGAGTACATGTATAACAGTAAAATCTTGAAGTGTTATGATTGTTTGATTTTTACAGATCATAAAAATTATAGCTGTTTAATGTATTAAAACATTTTATTTGCAAATAACTTACCATAGAAGCTTGTTCAACTCCTGGCAATGTAGCTGCTCTTCGTAACTAATTAAAAGATGTACAATAAATTCACCAATTCTAAAAATCTATTATATCAATTATTAAAATAACTCACCTGCAGAATCTGAGGTAAACAATGAGATGCACTAACATAATTTAATGTAAAGAGGTAGGCTTGCCTTTCCTGTAAACAAATAATATGAATTAATACAAATATTTTAATATTTACAATAATCTGGATACAAAAAATTTACCCTTTTAAATCGATAAGGAGCAATTACGCCACCTTCAATTTCTACAACTTGCTCAGAAACCACACGAATAACATTACCTTTTGTATCTAATCTATAATAAATATATAAATTTAAAAACTGTATAGAAGCATCACAATATTATGGTTACAGTTGTCTACTTACTTTGATAACAGGGATCCATTCCATTGGTCTATAATTGTGCATTCATTTAACTGAAACTATTTATAAATTTAAATTATTTATTATTATTTTAATTTATTTTAAAAAATTCATTGATAAATACTCACTTTTAGGATAGGTTTATTGATATCATTTGGCTCAAAGACCAAAGATTTTGAGCAAACTTTCAAACGGCCTTTCTGCTTTCTTTAAAATATGTGTAAACTATTAAAATTATTTATTATTTAGAATAAGAATTTTGAGTTGTTTATATACCTTTTAATAGCTTCTTCTTCAGGAAAATTTGCTGGATATGAAAACACACTGTAATCTTCAAAATATATTTCACTTGGTTCTAATAGTAACAATGAAAATCTATAAAATGTAACAATAATGTAAATGTAATTAATTTTATAATTATATTGAATATATTAAAATTTAAATAAATATATATAAATACAGGTGTATCCATAATCATTTACATTTATAGTTGAATTTTCTTTATAAACTGTAAATGAGATGGAAAATAAATGCCAAGTTTGCAAGCACAATCCAATTCAAATAATATTAACTGAATTATATCTTATTTATATCATTTAACCTATAGTAGAATTAGTTTCTTTATACATTAAGTCATTTTGTTTAATGTTGCAATTTCCAAGAACCTATCAAGGGCATTACGCGAGGACTTGCAGAAGAAATAGGCAAGTCACACAACTGTCTATAGGCGATACAGAAAAAGATTTATTTCACAGGTACTCTCAACAGTATGTAATTGTCCTCGTCAGGCAATATTGTTCACAGAGAACAGAACATTTGAATTCGAGAAATAGAACATAAACAGCAACTAACATTTTTCAAATTGTTTCTTTTCTTGTACGTGTGCATGGAACTTAAATTACATAAATAAAAAATTACAAAAAACAACCAGGATATACAAGGAATAACACAAATAAAAGTTACCAAATTAAAATCCAAAAATAAATAAATACACAGCAGTGCAATTAATGATGCAATGTGTTTTATCAAGAACCACAACTTACAATTTTAGAAGGTTAAACAGCACTATCCATAGCTCTAGTATAGTTAGCAGGGGAAAGTTGCACAGTGATATTAATGCAATGTTAAGGAATTCCCATTATGAACAATGTTCTTCAATTTATAATTTATTTTGTATACTAGTACTTTCTATGTATTAACAGGACTTATTATACTAGAAAAAAAATTATAGATGCAGATATTTAGTCTTACAGTTCAAAAATAATGTTCTTTATTTAGTTCACCTGAACACATACACATCAAACACGTGTTTCGGACTTGTTTGTCCCTCCTCAGCAGGCCTTTAAATGACACTTTTTATAATTAACCTGTTGTTTAAAGGCCTGCTGAGGAGGGACAAACAAGTCCGAAACACATGTTTGATGTGTATGTGTTCAGGTGAACTAAATAAAGAATATTAATTTTGAACTGTAAGACTAAATATCTGCATCTATAATTTTCCAGTATAATAAGTCCTGTTAATACATAGAAAGTACTAGTATACAAAATAAATTATAAATAGATAAAAAAAGGACAAAAAGGCATAATAATTAAATGTTCTTCAATCCCCACAGCACTTTAGAAGTGAAGTTTGCGACACAAGTGGCTCAAAGTTACTCTCTATCATGTTTTTATCTAGTTCTGTTGTAAATTTGTTGTGTACAACATAATCATAATGTTCTGCAAGACAGAGATGGAGCATTCTAGTAGTAGCTCCAATATATAATGGTTTTGATCCAGTTAGCAGATTTTGTAAAGGTATAGCATATAATCCAAATTTTTTATAGAGTGCAACCTTATTTCTATCATTGCAACGGATCCTACGTAACATGGGCTGGGGCGCTAGTGACAAAACATAACCAAACTTGTTGAAAATCTGGCAAATATGTAAAATGGGACCCAGGTACTGAATGGCAGGTGTTATGAAAACCAATTCCTTCTTAAAATACAAAGTGAATGGAGGAAATAACATGCTTTTGACCTGGTTGACTAGATGGTCGAACTTGGCCAAAGAATATCCAGTGCTGCAAACTGCCAATTTAAGAAGGGATGGATGGCTCCTCATCCACAAGCAATTGGGTGGAAGGATATAAGAACGTAATGCATATCAACACTATAATAACCAAATTTTTGTACTTGGATTGGAAAGATGTAGAAGAGATGATATATGGCAGTTCACCAAATTTATGATACACAGAAAATAAGACCCTATTGGGGGATCTGTTTAAAGTAGATCCAAAGAAGAAATCTTTGCATCTCTCTCCTCCTCTTTAGTAAATGAAATAGTCAGAAAAATGACCAACAGTGATTGTATAAAATCCAGTAACTCTTTTTCAGAGCCTTCCCATGCCAGTAGTATATCATCAGCATACTGCAAATACAATAGTCACCACTGAACTTAGACCAGGCGGCAGTTAACATGTCATCCAATAAATAGGTTTAAAAAAAAAGTAGCTTTGATTCATTGCATGAATATTTTACATTATTTAAAACAAATATACAGTAATTAATCTTTATTTTTGCTACATATCAACTTGATATCTTGCAGGTTAAACAAGATTGAGCAAGTCAAACGTGAGTCACAGGCATCAAAAAACATAGACCGCTGCATCACCAATGTCCATGAACATAGACCACTGCATGTTTAATATTTTGTTGCATCACCTTTGCGGCCAAAACCCCTTCTATACATTTTGGCATGCTGTTGATTAGATGTTCACATTCATCTGCTGTTATTGGAATTCCAGATAGTTAAGATGAAAGCTTTTTGTCTTCAACTGTCCAAGGGCATTTTTTTCACAGATGTCTCTCCACAATGTTCCATACATTCTCAATTGGTGAAAGATCTGGGCTATTGGATGGCCAAGGAAGAACTTCTATGTTCTTTTCTGCAAGCCACTGTTATGTTTTTCTACTTGTATGACATGTGACCTCCATCCTGCTGGAAAATGCATGTTCTATTTGGATATAGCTTTGCTATGGATGGAAGTAAATACTGTTGTAGAATGTTAATGTATTGTTCTTAAGCAAGTGTTTCATCAAGAAATGTCAACTGACCCATACCACTGGCACTCATACATCCCCAAACCATGAAGCAGGCAAGAAACTTCACTGAGCAGTATAACAACGATGGCTCATTAGCTTGACTGGCAGATCGAATGACACATTTGCTTTTGTCTGTTTCTGATAATTCGAAGTTTGATTTATCAGATTTATCAGACCACAGAATTTCATGTCACTTTTGTTGAGACCAGGAAAGATGTTCTTTGGTTCACTGTACCCATTTCTTCTTTTGATGTGCTGTTAGCAAAGGTTTTTCACATGCTGTATAGAACTGAAAATGCATTTCTTGCAGTCTCCTGTAAGTTGTCAAAACAGATACATTCTTTCCAGTTGTATCATTCCATATTATAGTTACATTCAATATCTGTGGCATGGCAGTTGTTTTTATGATTTTTTTAAAACTCCTATCATCAACTTTTGAAGTTTTTCGCTGATGTCCAGCAGCTTTGTTAGGTATAACATGATCTTGGTTAGCATAATAAACAATAATCTGGTGCACTGTTGTCTTGCTTAGCATTAGCTCTTTTCTAATAGCTTAATATGTTAGTACTTAATTACATCCCATTTTTGAACAAGATACACAGATCTACTGCCAAGTCTAATAACATACACATTCAATTATTAAAACCAATGGGATCAGTGGTAATATTAACACACTAAAAATAAAAATTTAAAAAACAAGTAAAAATTATACTCTTTCTATTTCCGACTTCGAGGATTCTATGAGCCAAAACAAGACACACAAGTAGCAAGGAACAATCATCATTTTATTAATTTTATCCAATTATAACTAAAAATTTTTATTTTTAGTGTGTTAACATACACATTGTATACCGCCGCAACCCCACTATTTTCAAACTTTTGAGAAACGATAAAAAGAAAGAGGATCGGAATTTGACAACGAGTATATATTCAGTACCTTTACATGATCAACGAATCGATTCCAGGCTAGTTTATGTGGGTGCGATGATGCGTGGTCTGAAGCAAAGGCTCAAGGAGCATAAATACACAATAGATAGGAACCTTGATAACACTGTCTTAGCATCGTACGCAAAGCAACAGGATATAGACGTGCAATGGGATCAAGCATCAATTATAAAAACGACGACTAATAGGCAAATGATCAAACATCTGGAGAGGTTGGAAATCTATAAAGCGCACATGAAAACTGGTTGTATAAACCATAGAGACGCCGACTTGTTGTCCACTGCGTGGAGGTCCTTTTACAATTATTAATTTTTCACTATTTATTTAGTTTATTTGTTAATTTTTCATTAGTTTGTCCGCTAGGGCGTTTTCTGTTAATTTTTATTTTTATTTCGAATGCATTTTATGTTCTATATTTACTGTTCTATTTTTGTAACTGACGATGATTGTTGAAAAACGATTGAAAATGTTTTTATTTTATTAAATTTTGCTGGATTTATATCAGTGTAATTAATTTTCATAATTGTTTTCTGTAATTAATAAAAAAGAGACACTTTTAATAATTACAGATAACAATTATTTTTGCCTCCATATTGCCAGTGTGTCGGAAAGGCACAAACCCATGACTAACTACAAGTGTTCAGAGATTGTATCTACTCAGTGGCAGGTGGATGGCATTGTACCAATTAATATTAGAAGCAGATAGCAGTGTTAGCAGAATTTTTAAATGACAGACACATTCAAGGAAGAGCACAGAAAGTATAAGTTCCACTTACCTAAAACTTAGAAATGAATAAATAAATAAAACAACACAAACAAAAATACTTTTTTTTAAAATATATTTTGATATGTATTTATGTATGCGTGTGTGTATGATGTAAATCTTGTTAGATTTATCTACAAAAACAAAATTTATAGACAAACTTATTCTTGATGCTCTTTATCTGTTCAAAATAGAACCTGTTTAAAACAGAAAACTGTCTAAACCAGTGTTCCTCAACCTCTAACGAATCATCGCCCCCTTCAATAAAACCGTTACGTAGTATCGCCCCCTTCACTTCAAAATTCCGATGCTGAGAGACAAGGCTAACGCCAAATTCGTACTGCATTGAACAGACTAGTGACTAGTATAATGTTATTTGTTTAATTATTGTACAATATAACAAATAAAATATCTAATTATTCTTAACATAATGTTTTACTATATCGCCCAGAAAATTGTTTATTGTCCCCAAAATATAAATTGTTACTAATCGCCCACTCAACATAGAAAAACGCCCCCGTTGAGAAACACTAGTCTAAACAGTAAAAATTATTTGAACAAAGCAATTTTCAATGTTAAATTT